TCCGAGGCATCAATCGCGCGCGAGGGAGAAAAAAAACGAGCGACGCGTGCTCAGTGACAACACGTAGATGTATAATATGTATGTAGCGCGAATAATATAAGGCACTGATTCACATGCGTGCCAGCGAGCGAAGAACGAAATTGAGTCAGCCGCTTTGTGAGATATATAAAGTAGCTGCGGCCTTTTTTTTTTTTGCTTTGCTTCTTCATATTATACGCGTACACGAGTACGACACACGCAGGCGGCTCTCATGCGATGATCATATACGCGGAGGTATATAGAGGAGTCTTAAAATATAGCGGCAACGGCTCGTTGCAGAGAAGCGAGAGAGGCGCTCGCGATTGTGCGATATATTATTTACGCTCCACGGCAGTTTTTAATTTACTCTATTGCTGGGAGATTGAGAGGGACACAGGGGAGTTGTGTATCTACACTACGAGTGCCTCACGTGCGAAGGCGTAATTTCAACTTTCCTCGGCTCTGTCATATCGCAAGATGTATACGTTGTGATACGAGAGGGATTGCGCTTGCGAACTTGTGTGTATGAGCCAAAGTAGCTCTATTGTATTATTATACCTCAAGTAGACGAGTCGCGATGTATTTGTAGCGAAGCGCACTCGAATGTAAAAGTCCGAGATGCAGTTGTGCATCGCATTTTGATGATATGGAAATGCATTTCCGACGATTACTCCGTATCATTACTCGGCGTATTACGTAAACATTGACAGACGCGCGAATTTCGCGAAAATAATACAAAGCTGCTGCTACGAGAAAATAATTCCATGAGGCTAGATCGCCGTTGCCGCCGGACTGCATTCGCCGCTTGGAACTGCTTGTAACCAGAGATAGCTGGTTTACTACTGCCTGTCTCACCTGGTCAATCGTCTTTGCACCTCGACGGCGGCGGCGGCGATTTTCTTTACGTATTTCTCGCGCTGCACCCCCCCTTTCGCGTAATAGAGACTTAATAAACTGCAGCTTATGATGTGTACACATTATGTACGATTGTGTTTTCAATGCACTCGACGCGCGATCGCGACGCAAGATGAAAAAGGCAAAAATCAATAAGCAATGCCCTGTAATCTCGGCAGTGATTGATAGCTAATCGCACCGCCGATGATAACTTTTTAAGTTCGACTTTTCGAAACGATCCGATCTCGCGCTTTATTATCCGTTGTACTTGAACGATTTTTTGGTTGTGCTCGTAGGTCGGCGCGTGCCATCGATGACATCGTTTTTCGCAATTTACTCGGTTTTCATGATACAAGTATTAATCTTGTCGAATTCTCCGGAAAAAGTTTATTTTTATTTTGCGGCTTTTATGGCATTCACATACTAATCGGATCTATTTTTATTGTGTCATAGCTTTTCATTTGAAAAATTTATTTTTATCTCTCGTTTCGGCAAATTTCTTGACGAATGTCAATTAGTCGTTATATAGAAGCGTTGATATTTAACAGTCGATCAATGCAGTTCCACATATTCGGCGATATAAGCACGGTATATTCTTTGAACATACAACTATAAGCACGTATACTAAATATTAAAACTTTTTCAAGCACGAAAACTCGGAAGCACTTTCCGAATGCAGCTCGCCGTTTCCATTGTTTACGTCGGATACTGTACGTACGTATACGCGCGCGCATTTTTCTCTATTCTACAACTTCGCGCCCGGAGAGAGAGAGATAGAGCCCTGGAGAGGTTGGAAATTCAATTTACAGAAGTACAACTTTTGATGCATGTACTTGAAAATTGAACAAAAATTATTTTCTCGCACTTGAAAAGCTATTGAACCCGGGGTGTAGCACGTGCGTGCGCCTCGAGCTCGAGTACGCTCGCCGAGTGCATGTATAAACTTATCGATGCGCAAAAATATTTCCACCCGCATCATGCTCTGGCCAGGAGAAGTTTATATTCCAGCATGATTTATGCAATAAAAATTTATATACATGTATAAAAATTGTTTTATTTTCGTTCGACACGCATCCAGATGACCGTATTTTTTTTTCTCTCTCTCTCTCGACAAAAGTTCGCATGAATTATTCATGCATGCGAGTGTAACAAAACAGTATATGCCGTCGTTTGATTATCAATTCAAATGCATCGTCTAATTCTCAGCAATATTATTGATGTTTTCGCAGAGATGTATGGGATAGGCAAAAAAAAGGAAAATAAATGTGAAAAGCGCCTCGTAATCGTTGCGGAGAGAGATGAGCTAGCTCAAACTGGATACGCGATGCTCATTATACGACTCTGTTAAAGATTAATCAAATCGAGCTTTATCGCTTTTCCAACGATGCCACACGAGGCGGACAGCGACAATATAACGCAATGATCTTGGATGCAGGGGAAAAAAAGTGAAAAACTGAAGAAGAAAAAAATTACAGAAGCCAATCTAAATAAGTGTCGGTAGTACTTTTGTTTACCTTGAGAGCTCGAGCGATATATATGTGTGCTTCCCGATGTATATGCAAGAATGCAATTTGCTGACAACAAGGCCGAGATGAAGTTTTTTTTTCTACCCTGAAAATCGATCAGCACTGCACATTCACACGTAGCCGACAACACTAGCTCCGCGGAATGGATATTATACAAATTGACAGGCTTTTTCGACGCCTTTACATTCGTCTGCGCGCTAAACTGCACACTGAAGTGGGAAATCTCGTTGTTAAGTCATTTATTGCTTCGTCTAGCTCGACGAGTGTATACGCGGCGAGAGTGGGTGAGAGAAATGTTGATTTTAATCTTATCGAGCCGAGCAAATGTGTGCGGGTGCGAGTCTTGTGGTTCTCTGACACATCTGCAGCCAGACGGAGATGGAAAATTTAGGGTTCACAATGGTCGGGTGTTTTCGCAGGTCGGTACACGAACGATTTGATTCTTTGTGAAAATGTCGAGCAGGTAATAAAAAACGGATGCGGGTCGTAGTTGAAAAGAAATGAGTTCGCGATGCGATGGAGAAAAAAAATTAATTTAGGCTAAATCCAAGGATTGAAAGCAATAGAGATTAAATTGTATTAGATGAAAATTTATTTCGATAAATCCAGACTTCGTTGGAGTAATTAAATTATATAAGACCATTGAAATCGATTAAAGGGATATAGCGAAGCTACTATAAGATTGAACAATTTCAAGTATCTTTTTAAATTATGAAGATCGTAAAAAATTTAATAAGATCTGCCTTCCATTTATTTTTAAAAGTTTCAAGTTTTTTTCTCATATTTTTTTTTATAAACTGAGGCCAAGTTGTTGTATAGTTATACTTCAGAGCTTTGTGGTGTGAAATTTCAAATATAATATTAAATATTACTTTCCGTATTGGATACTGTAAAATGAAAATAAGATTACTGGTAGTAATGCTCAACATTTTATGGATAGTCTTTGGCCAATACAGATAAAGTTCATAAATTATTCTTTTGTAAATTTTTCTCTGCGAATGCGAAAATTAAAATGGCCGGTAAATTACTCAAATTTTTTTCATACTCATATTATACATTTATTTTCACTTTACCACTTGCAGATTTACAGATAATGGTACTCGCCATCTAGCGGTGGTCCGGATCAAAAGTGATTGAAAGCTTAACTTTAATGGAAGCGGCAACTGCGACACGAATTCCGGGATGTGTAATGTAAACAAACTGTCCATGTGCGATTGCCATTTGGCAAATGATAAAGTCGCGTAAAGTAATATGGAAGTGGTGCATTTATATTGGAGTATGAATTATTTATAATAACACCCTCGAGTTAATTTGCATACGTTTAATGAAAATAAGTGTAAAAAATATTCTGAAAAAGCTTATTCATTCTCTTATTTCACGAAAATAAATATGAAATACAGATTTTTTTCTGCACAGCTTTTTGCGCTGCGGTAAACTTTTTTCCTTTGAATATTCTATTAACATGCGCGAAATGTATCTAAGAAAGTCTTCGGGTAGCATATTGGAATAAAACTCAAGGAAAGTAAAAAAAAACACGTTTTAAAATTTTATTTTCCTTTGTGGTAGATCCTTGAAATGTTCCACGTGCTTTCGATGATCTTTCATTTCATTTACATGCACGGATATTCATCAGGTAAAAGCAAAACTGAAGCAGTCATAAGTGTTTTTTTTATATAAACTTAAGTCACGACAATAGAGTGAAAAATTAATTCGAGCTATCGATTTACTGCGTTCAATTATTTCATTTCTTTTGCAAAAGTAAGGATGACTTCAATTAATAATTGAGGTAAAAATTGTTTACCAATCGATGAGTTATTTTTAAATGCCGCTATTAAGAATTCAAAACACGCCGCAATTATTATTCAAATCCCTTGTTCATATTTTCATCATAACTTTTTTTTGTTATCTTTCTAACATGCAGGGGTATTATGTACTGTACAGTCCCCTGACACTGCAAGTTCATAACGATGCAACGAGTCTCCTCTCTTTTTTTTTTTGTTACCTCGTTGCGTAGGCAGTTTATTTTTAATGATTTACATACTTACACCCTGCATTTAACACTCTAATAATCACCCGCAAAATGTGCTCGTAAATATCATTTTTCCTCGACGTCATCTCACTGAGCTCGGTAAACAGTATGCGTTACTCCGTACACAAAGCTCAATTTTCGTCCCAAAAGCTCCGGTAGATTTCCGAAAATTGAAACCAGTATATTTTTATTTTCGTTTCTCGCCGGACTCGTATTCGCGTTCGTGTAATACGCGTCGGGCTCGTCTTGACGTATACACGAGACACATTATTTATTCATCCCCACAGAAAAACCTTTATGAAAATCCACCCTTCGTTCGCACGCTTGGCCCGTCGCGCGTACGCGTATGTGTGTTTCAAAGTTTTCCCGCATACAAAAGCGAATGTAGTAACCTCGATTTCACCTTCAAGAGACAGGCTAATCTTCCCCCCTTCGGAGAGAGAAAAGGAAAAAAAAATCGCTCCGCACCGAAAGAGTGGAAAGATATAGCTGGGAGAGAGAGAGAGAGAGAAAGAATTGGATGATAGACTCACCCTTGTAGCTATCTCGTAACGGACGAGGCTCTTCCGTACAGCTTCGTGTCCTCCGTCGTCTTGTTCTTGGCTCGTGCGCGTTCTCTCTCGCTCGCTCGCAAGTAGTAGCAGTCAGCAGTCCGTATACATGTATATATGGGTGCGTTTTACGAGCGCACGCACGCACGCAGTGGGACGACGACGCCGGACTATTGTCGTTACGTTAAGACCCCCAAAGCGCAGGCTCAACGCTGACTACCGGCACTTTATCCTCGACGCGAGCATTGCCTCGTCGCTTTACTTCTGCTGCTGCTGCTTTGCCTGTAATAATGATAAATATCAGCGTGTATCGCTCTGGCTTTATTATGGCATATATAATATGTGAAAGTGTACTCGTGGACGCGGGGGTGCAGTGTGTTTGTGTATGTGTGGGTGAGTGGGTGAGAAGTACAAAGCAACCCTGACATCGAAATCGACGCATCGTGTATTATACATAAGAAAATTGTTCGATTACACGAAGGCTTATTAATTATACGATGCATAGATACACGCACACGTATTTGCGGAGGGCTAGGTGCACGTGTCGCATCTGCCCTACGACTATTTGTATGTATATATTTACTCGAGAGTCGAGAGGAGTATCTCCGCGTGCACTCGTGAGCGTGTGTTTGTGGCACGATAAGATGATTCGAGGAAAGTAGAACACGAATACGCCAGTGGTAGCCAGCCTTACATCTCTCAGCTGCCTGTGTGTAAAGACCGAAAGACCGAGTTTTTCTAAAGGTTCAAATAGTTCGTTACCGGGGGGGGCCTGCAGTACTCGTAGCTCTCTGACACCTACGAAAATCAATACAGATGAATGATGTTGAGAAATCGGGATCATTGATATTGAGTTACTCACTGCCTCGGCTATAGTTCGCACTCGCGCCTCTACACAACAACACCCTCTCCCTTGGCGAGCTCGATTCACGACGAGATTCGCCGCGAGTTAATCGCGGAATTATACGACTTCGTCCATTGAGGGGACTCTCTCTCTCTGTCTCTCTCTCTTACAGGCAGCTCGTTTTATGCTTTGTCTTTTTCTCTCTCTTTTTTTTTTTGCTTTTTCTTTGAAATGCAACAGCTATGTGCAGCCCTTGACCCGATCCCGCAGACCCTTACTACCCCGAGACATTCAAATGTATACGTTTGTGCCCAAATAAACAGCGAAAAGCTCCTCGAGGTACTTCTCACCTGTTATCAACTCAAGACGGTGCACGAGAGTTTTATATTAAAGTACACGGAAAAGATCTCGAAAAATTTGCGCAGCAATTTTCAAACGCACGAGAGGAAAAGAAAGAGGGGAAAAAAGAGAGAAAACGTTAGTCTTTTTTACCTCGTTGTCTCTATTTCGATCAGTATGTCACGACCTTACTTTCGTTCTGCAAAGCTTAGTTAGTCGAGAGCTTTTTTCTTCTCTTTCCTCCTTTGCGAGCTGTGTGTGTGTGCGTTATATATAAGCGTTCGTCGCTGGCATTTGTCTCCGAAGAAAAGGTGCAACGGCAATCGAAGCACGCGGAGGAGGCAAAACTTTTTCAATAGGTACCCACGCCCGCGCCAACGAGGAATCTGTCGCATTTATATATACGACCAATGATAAGTATTTCGCGCGCTTCGCAAGCTCGAGTGCGCACCGAGGAAATAAAGTTTTTTTCTCGCGCGCGCAAGCTGTTATTATTACATCGAGTGCTTATTTATACCGTGGCGACCGATCAACTAAGAGAGAAGGAGAGGAAGCAAAAAAAAGCTCGCGACGACAGTAGCCACGACCAAGCACGGATTATATAGTGATCGAATCTAACTAGCGGTGTGCTTGCGGTTGTTCCGGCAAAAATAGAATTATAATATCGCGTTGTGCAAAGCCGAGAGCCATGAGAGAGAGAGCGAGATAGGGGGGAATAAAATTGTGCAAAGTTACGGAATCAAATTCCGGTTATTTACAATCATAATTTTGAACCTAAATCTCGCTATATACGTTAAATATGTCCAAAATATATTAATAAACTTGCGTAAGCAGCGAGGGAGCAGCGACACAAAAAAAGAGCTCTCGTTCACACACGTACTCGAGCTCCACGCGTGTCAAAGATGAAGAGTGTCGCAAACAGTTTCAAATATTCAGGCGAGTTGCGGTGTGTTATCTCGTATCTCTCGAAAACTACATAGCGGTCGAAACCGCGGCGCGCACTGCACACGACCGTATTACAAAGTGATACGCGCGCGCGCGGGCGATATGTATGTATAGGCATGCGAGAGAGAGAAAAATGTCACCCTCTGCGGCCCGATAAAACATATATAACGTTACGTTATATATAAGTTGACGTGTTATGGGAGTGCAAAGACAAGGAAAAATGTTTATAGACGCGCTCCACATATATATACATATGCAGTAGCAGCGGACGCACGCCGACACATCGTAAAAATCGTACAGCGATAGCTATATATATGCGCTCTCGTGTATGTGCGCTCGCGTTCGGCACTGGAGCGAAAGGAAAAATCATGCGTGTGACGCAGTGCCGACGACGACGTCGTTATGCATCGCGCATATACCTGTATATATAACGAGCGAATACGCAGCCCTGCATAAAGTATCCCACGTGTTTTGCGCTAACTAAGCGTACAGCTTCCACCGCGACATATACCTATCGGGCGAACGCGATGATATAACTGTATATAGGCACACGCACACACTCGGGCACGCACTCAGTCACACATATACATACGAAAGTGTATCGCTGCAAGCTCGCGTATACATTACAAGATTAACCGAGGCAAGGAGTGTGACTAAGGGGGCAAAAAACTAACCGGCAGTCCTTGTGTGTTATCCCCGGAGCCCAGAGATCCGACTGGAGAGAAGCGATACAAAGCTCGACGTGGATCTAGTCGCAGACGAGCAGCTAATCGAAGCCGACGACAAGCAGGTCAGCGGAGCAAAGCACATGAAAAATCAGCTCCTGCTGATTCGGCTGCTGCCTGCACACACGATCGATGGGTCGCTGGGTCTGTGCGCCCGGTCTGCACACAACGAACTCTGTGACTTTCGTTTAATCCTCGCACTTTACTGGGTTCGAGAGTCGAGTTTCCCCGATATAATCGAGCGGAATTTTATTTTCATATATATATCGCGGATATCACACGATGATACATATAATACGATGTGCGCCGGAGGAGGCCGCGAGCGCGCGTGCCTGCGAGCGGATACGCGACTAGACTACGGTCGTTCCGTCGAGGCTCGACTCTGCGAGTGCGAAGGCGGCGGAGGTGGTGTGTGCTGGCTGGCTGGCTGGCGGTGGTGGCGGTGGCGGAAACGACGACGACGACGACGTCGGCGCTGGTGCCAGCTACGGAGCAGCGCTACTACGGCAGCACACGCTGACCATATCGCGAAAAGCTCTGGTGGCTCTGATGCTGCCTACTGCTCTGCCTGCCCGCCTGGGTATTGATCCTAGCCGACGTCGTTCCATCCATGTGTGCCCCTGCATACATACACGTGTGTGTGTGTGTGTGTGTGTGTGTGTGTACGTATACGCGCATGCGACGCCCCAGTCAGCAGCTATGTACCTACTACCCCTGTACTATCTGCAGCTAGAGTGTGTGGGTGTGTCTCACCGATATGCCAACGATTCGCAGCGCGCACAATACATTCAAGCGAGAGAGAGAGAGCTTCGTACTTTCGAAGGGAGACAGTAGCAGACGGAGAGAGAGAGAGAGAGAGAGGGCAATCTATACCCAGCTGCTGATATATTTTTCTTCTCCGCCACTATGATGCTGATATATTTTGATATTTCATCCCAAAACTGCTTGCTCTTCATGTCTGATCTATCTATAACTTAATTGTTTTTTTTTTGGTCTCCAGAGACGTGTCGTTTCTACGAAGATTTTGTTTACCCAACGAAATTATAATCGCTTGCTTTTATTTTCGCTCGAAAAGTCAAACGGATCGATGCTAAAAGAATTAATGCCAAATTTGGCCAATCAGCGGCAATTTACCCCGTTGGCTGCTGCGGCGTGGCAGAGAGCAATGGCCTAGATCAAAAATAACTCACCGGTCCTCGCGCGAAAGGACTGTCAGCTACAAATTAGCGTAGTTATTCTTAAACCCTCTCGGCGAATCAATACAATCGTACCGATTTGACTTCTTGCCTCGTTGGAATTGACATTGCTCATGCACTTGCGAGCTGCGTAAATGTTTTAAAAAATTTAGCATCCTATTGACTTGACATTGGTATGGAATTGACAAGGCCGACGTTTCAAAGTAAGTTTGCAAATCATCTTTCGCGCCTAATATTTATAGAGTTCGATTGAAATTTTGCGCACCGATTACCCGGGGAGTTTATTTATCCAATTAGTTGTCGGAGAGTTACAGAACTACCTTATCGACTGACAGATTACAGATCATCTTTCATCTTATCTTTCAAACGCTATAGCAGACGTATGATAGTCCGCCGCATGATCCTATTTCAGCTGATCTCAATTCTCGATGTGCGGCAAAGTTTTACTCTTATGACGAATTAAGTTTGTCAGTGATTTGTTTATTTTATCGAAAGTGTTAGACATTCAATATGACTATTGCATCGATAATTAACTCCAAAGCCAACCTTACGAGGTTGTCGAGGCTTCCATCGTTAGTTTTTGAGGTAATAATGACTACTTACTATAGGTTATCCAAATACAATTTTAAGAAATTGTGCAATTATAATAATTATGTCAATGTTCTTATGTACAGTTGAAGGGACAGTACATGTCCAATTTCACCAAGTTTGCCGAACACAAACCAATTGAAAAAATTAGAAATATTGGAATATCAGCTCACATCGATTCCGGTAAAACAACATTGACTGAGCGAATTCTCTTTTACACTGGTCGTATAGCTCAGATGCACGAGGTAAAGCTATTAATGATTATGAATTTTCTTATGTCAACTTTGTAAAAATAAAAGATACATTTTTTCATAGGTGAGAGGCAAAGATAATGTTGGAGCTGTGATGGACAGTATGGAACTGGAAAGACAGCGTGGAATAACAATTCAATCTGCAGCTACTTATACTCTATGGAAAGACCATAATATCAATATTATTGATACACCTGGACACGTCGATTTTACAGTAGAAGTAGAAAGATCTCTCCGTGTTTTAGATGGTGCTGTACTTGTGCTATGTGCAGTTGGTGGAGTGCAATCACAAACTTTGACAGTTAATAGACAAATGAAACGCTATAGTGTTCCTTGCTTAGGATTTATCAACAAACTGGATAGAATGGGATCTAATCCTAACAGAGTTTTAGATCAAATGAGAAATAAATTGCAACATAATGCTGCTTTTCTTCAACTGCCTATTGGTTTGGAAAGTGATATGAAAGGTGTAATTGATTTAATCCATAGGAAAGCTTTGTATTTTGAAGGTGATTATGGTGAAATAATTAGACCAGACGAAGTACCTCAAGACTTTAAATCAGGTAATATTATTGATTCATTAAATTCAAAAGCTTTGATAAATATAGATTAAAGAATATAACTTAATTTTGTTTGTTTTATTAGAAATGGAAGCAAAACGACAAGAGTTGATTGAACATCTTAGCAATGCTGATGAACAACTTGGTGAAAAGTTTTTGAATGAAGATACAATTAGTGAAGAAGATATTAAAAAAGCCGTGAGGAGGACATGTTTAAACAGAACATTCACCCCTGTCATGCTTGGTACAGCTCTAAAAAATAAAGGCGTCCAGCCTCTGCTTGATGCTGTTTTAGACTACTTGCCCAATCCAGGAGAAGTTACAAATTATGCTTTTCTTGACCAAGGCAAAGAGTATGTATTATTTTCCTATTTTTATTAATATTTTGAGCTCAATTATATGATTATTTTATGACTAATTACAGTGAGGAGCCCAAGGAAATTGTTTTAAATCCAGAACGTAGTGCTAATCATCCATTTGTTGGATTGGCCTTCAAACTAGAGGCTGGTAAGTTTGGACAGCTGACTTACTTCAGATGTTATCAAGGCATGTTGAAAAAAGCAGATAATATTTTTAACACTAGAACCAATAAAAAGGTATGTGTGAAATGATTATTTTTCTATATGAAATAATTCAACTCATAATAACTGATTTCTTAGGTGAGAGTTGCAAGACTTGTTCGACTTCACTCAAATACAATGGAAGATGTAAACGAAGTGTATGCTGGAGACATATTTGCATTGTTTGGTGTTGATTGTGCATCTGGAGATACTTTTGTCACTAAAAACGACATGGGTATTTCTATGGAGTCGATATACGTTCCAGAACCTGTTGTATCTATGTCTATTACCCCAAAAAATTCAAAGGATCGTGACAATTTTGCAAAAGCTATTGGTCGGTTCACAAAAGAAGATCCTACCTATCGTTTTACGTATGATCCAGAAAGCAGAGTAAGATTTTCATGATTTAAATATCTCTTCCTACATTTTAACTATCAAATTCGTTTCATTTCATAAATTATTACATTTTAGGAAAGCATAGTTTCTGGTATGGGTGAATTACACTTAGAAATTTATGCTCAGCGCATGGAGCGTGAATATAACTGTCCTGTTACGCTTGGTAAACCAAAAGTCGCATTCAGAGAAACGTTGGTCGCACCTTGTGAATTTGATTACTTACATAAGAAACAATCTGGAGGTGCAGGCCAATTTGGTCGTGTTATTGGTATCTTGGAGGTAACTTGATTTTTAACTTCTTTAAATGTATTGTTTCAAATGTTAAAACGAAAAAACTAAATTTTATTTTAATAGCCTCTACCACCACACAAAAATACCAGTTTGGAATTTTCTGACGAAACTGTTGGAACAAATATACCTAAGCCATTCGTACCTGGTGTAGAACGAGGTTTCTTAACTATGAGTGAAAAAGGTCTTTTATCAGGCCATAAATTAGCTGGCTTGAAATTCAGATTACTTGATGGTGCTCATCATATTGTTGATTCATCTGAGCACTCATTTTATTTGGCTGCTTGTGGAGCTATCAAGGACTGTTTCCAAAACGGCGTTTGGCAAGTTCTGGAACCTATTATGTTAGTTGAAATCACAGGCCCTGAAGAATTTCAGGTAAAAAAAATTAATTATTTTGGTAGTTAATGTATCAATTCAATTAAATGATATGCTAAAAATTTGATTAAATTTTTTAGGGAACGGTGATGGGACAATTGACCCGAAGAAAAGGAATCATCATGGGCATGGAGAGTGCCGACCAGTGGTTCACCATCTACGCCGAAGTACCATTGAACGATATGTTTGGTTATTCCAGTGAACTTCGATCGTCGACCCAAGGAAAGGGAGAATTCACGATGGAGTACTCGAGGTACAGCCCGGCCACCCCTGAAGTACAAGAGCGTCTGATCCAGGAATACGAGCAATCTCGGGGAATAGAGCAGAAAGAAAAGAAAAAGAATTAATTTGAAGAATGTTTTCATGTGCTTTATTGACGCTAAAGAAGAAAGTTCGTGATCATTCTGTGATGCACGTCATGAAATCATTGACAGTTTATAAACAGGAATCATGTTTTTAAGGATCATTAACTAGGAAAATTATGTTGAAGAATTGTAAATATCGTACTCATATATATTTGCTGTTAGAATAATAGTTTAGCTTTTAATGGTATTACTCTTGAAGAGTAAATACAAAACCTGTAAAGTTAAAACTTATCGATTTCATTATCGATATGAGATGTTGTTTTTTTTTAGACGAAACAAAGTCTCTAACAATAAACTCTTATTTACTCGTTTTTCATAAAACTCGCATCAATATAATTCATATTTCTTACATACTAATCAAAACTCGTTAGTGCATTTGAAAATTTTTTTTCTTCAAATTTTCAACGCGAATGAGGGATAATCGGGATTTATAAGCATACTATTGAAATGCCAACTATGTTTCATACATTCGGGCTGCATCACGTCGCGTGCATGTTTGATCCGAGGAAGAAAAAGTGCACGGTTTTAAGAAAAAAAAACATACATTACAATAATCAGGTAACAGGAACAATATATCGTTAGAGTTATAATATGTTAGATCCACATTTTATACAATCCATCGAATCGAATATGAAAACTGCATGAGAAATGTCTGCGATGCGTTATATTGTGTGATAGATGCAGTTGACAGTATATTATAGACAGTCGGATGATATTTAGATTTTTTACAAAGCCAGACGAGCGATAGACTTAACCGGTTAACTGAAAGTTCGTCGCGTAAATGATTGAATTATTCGAATTAATCCTGCTTATATTATATCATAAATGATCAAATGAAAGAACTTTCAATTTTTCAAAATTATTCGAATTAACTTTAAATTTCAGCGTTGGCATTTTGGCCTCGAAAAGTAAAAAAGAGTCAGGTCAGTTAACCGATTAAAGATCGGCGACTTCGCCCTCAACGACTATGCCGGGCGCCAGCTCGGTGATGTTGCTGTTGTCGTTCCTGCCGCCGCCGCGCCTGACGTCGAAGACCGACGACTCGCGGCCGTACTGCTCGGACATGCGGACCATCTCGTTGGGATTCCACTCGGGCGAGGGCGAGCGTCTGTTGTTGCCGCTGCGGTAGACGACGTTCGACTCGCGGAAGTTGGACTCGTAGCCGCCGCCACCGCCGTCGTACGTACGCTTCATGGAATTTCTCTGGACACCCGTTTTACGCAGCATCGCCTGGAAAATAGGGTTATCGGTGTTAACTGCGCTCTAGTGTACAAATAATTAATCATTACCTGGAAATTGAAAGGCGGCTCGTCGTCGTTGTCGTTGTTGTTGTTCCTTCGTCCGAGCATCTGCAGTTCATGGATCGGATTGGCCCTGTTGAGATGCATTTGGGTTAAAAGAATTTCTCTAAAGTATCAACGCGTTCTTGGGACTCATCATATACTAACCGATCATTGTTGAACGTGTTTTTATTCTTCCTGTCGTCGTTCGAAGCCCAGCCATTCATACCACGATTGTCATTGAAATTACTACGCGATTGCATTGGCATACTTGGTGGAGGGGGTGGTGGTACTTTTTTCCTAGAACGTAGCGAGCCTTTACTATCGTAGTTATTCTGCAACGAAACGAACAAAAATCGGTTAAAAATCGTCAGGTACGTAGCGATCGACGGAATCAAATCGACGAAACTCACTGAGCGAGGAGTATGAGCGTTGAACTGTCTGCTGGGTAAGCTGTGGCTCTCAGCGCTTGTAGGCGGTCGGCCCTGAAAACCGGAGATTCCTCTGGACTGGGCTTGGGCTTCGTGTGGATGGCAGCGGACTGGGACATTTGGGTCCCTGGAAAACGGAGTGTTGATCAGACTGTGGCCCTCTGTATGGGAGACGTTTACAACGCGGTGGGGCGAGTTGGTCGTTTGGCATTGTACATCTGAAATTAAAGAGTCAGATTCTGCAGTTTTGAAGGGCGATCGGTTCGCATCCCCAATTTTTCCCCTTACCCAGTAGTTAGCTACTTCTAGTTTTAGTTAATTTATCGTATAATATCAAAATAATAACTTGTAATAATTCATCATAATTATTCATTACTTTCAATTTCACCTGTGTTTCAAATAAAAATAATAATAATTTAGTGCATTTTACTTGAAGGCATGACTCTGGCTCTTTTATTTCTTTATGTATCCAAAACTTATTTACACACATTAATGCGCGTCAAAAACATGTTTCGGTAAAAAATATCCTGCGTTTTTATTTTGCTGAAATTTTGAAAGCTTATATAAGATCTGATTATGAAATCGATGAGTAATAATACGAAAAAATTGACGCGAAGATGCGATGATCCAAAAAAAAAGTATAAACCAGAGTCAACCTGAGTTTGTATAAGAAAAAGAGGTTTCAATGCTTGGAAAATAACTGAGAAAGATCTTTTACGATAAGGTGTGATGACAACACGCAAAATGTGCAAAGTGATATCAAAATGACAACACAATTTGTCGGTGCAAAATGCCATGCAATTATACATTAAAAAGTGAAATGAACAAGAAGCTCTGCTAAGTATTACGTAAAAAATTGCTAAAAAATCTAAGAAAAAAGCAAACTTTACTAAAAAAACAAGTGGACAAATGCAAATGAATATGTTTGAAAAAATGGCTTATCGCAATTTTTCGGTTAGGCTCTATTGGTGGAGTGTCAGTCATTCTCCATCATCATGAAACATAATGATGATGATGATGATAAGCACCTCTCTTGTTTCTTCGAATATTGCCCCAAATCGTTTGCCTTCTCAATGGCTCGTCCCAATTCTCCTGATCTTCGTCGGACGCCGATGACGTTACGGATCTGTAGAACGCAGATTTTCGCAGGGTGAAACGACTTACCTTTTTTTAAATATTATTTTCGCGAGATGAAAAAAATGTAAAAAAAAAAACGTTGAGATGATCGAAATAATTTTTTATTAAATAAAATTATAGTGATATTGATCGAAAGTCGCGTTAACTCTTCGAACGAGACTCACCCTTGTCTTCTACGTGGACGACTCTTCGGATCTGTCATGTGTGTAGTGTCATAGAATGGCAGTTCGCTGTGTATGTCGAATGGTATTTTATGAACTGTTGGTGGTTTTCGGGGTCCTAAGAATGCTTCAGGATTGTCGTCATTGTGGTCAATTCGTTCCAGTGGTACGCGCTCATTGCTCATCTGCAAAGCTCCCACTACAGCCTGATTGTATAGATGGACCTGGAATTCGAAGAATTCGATGGGGTAAAGAACGATTTTACTCGAGTTGGGAAAATGTTGTGGAGCGTGTACTGACTTGCTGAGAAAACTGGACGAGGTCGTGATACCGGGCTGCCCGGTAATGTAGGAGGACTTGGTATATGCTTTTCGACCGCCACTTGTTGCAAAAATACCTCATCATGTCTTCCGTTTCCGGATCCAGATTCAGATCCTTGCTGAGAAGGGGACCTACTTCTTTGCGAGCTTGTCGGCCGCGGTAAGCTGCGAGGGAGAGAAACCACAAAACGAAGATTTAATTTCTTCTCGAACGAGACCAGTGGATCGTGCGTCAACTTTTTAGACTATCAGGGATCTTAATAATTGGGCTCCAAAAATGATAAAACGCGTCAAAAAATGTGTGTTCGTTTCCGAAAAAACCGGTATTACCTTTCTGCAAAACTACTGCTGCTTCGTCTTGAGACATTTCGCGACTCGCTAGCCTCTGCAAGGTAGCTTGCCTCTTTATGGACTCGGACTTCTTCGTGGTATCTTCTCTGATTGGTCCTTTCTTCACTGAAACATTTCCCTTTAACATCGTGCAAAAACACTCAAAAGCGACAAAAAAAAAGATCATTGGATGCTCGCACATGATTATAGACAAAAAATTTTCATGCGCCAGGAAAAGAGAGAAAAACAAAATATTTCGAGCCACAAAAATTGCCTTGTCTTTTCAAATTCACGGGGGGTAGGTGCGGGATCGGTGGGTGCTCGAGATGTACCGGAAGTACCTACCAGCTTCCCTCTGCTCGTTACGAGCGGCGAACTTGTTCTTCGTGGTTTTCATCGCGACGGTCTTGCGAGCCAAGAACGCCCTCATCATGCATTGGACTTTGACGATTTTCTTCACTTGGGTCTCGTAAAGCCTCGACAGATATTCCTCGTTGTAGTACCTGAGGAATACTTTGGTTTTACCGATGACCCAGCCTTCCATCTTCAATCTAACCAGCAGAAGGCGACAGTTATCCTGGGTCATCTCGACGTTCTCGTCGAAATCAAAGGCCAAGAACTTGTATCTGCCGTGATTAATAGCGTTATTTTCAATCAGCGTAAATTAAGTTTTAAATAAATCACCTTCTTAAAAATTCTTGGAACGGAATTCTCGACGAGTATCCTCTCATTCTAGCTCTAGCCGTGTCGACAATGCCCAGAGCACGAATTTGCTGTCTCACGACTTCTCGATAGAAGCCTCTAGGCTGACCCTCCAAATCAGACCTAATGCACCTGACAAAATGTGTACCACCGTTGATAGCACCGACAGAGAGATTTTTCAAGATCTCAAGGCTCGAGGCACGGAATGTAGCGGCGTAAGTTCTCATCTTGCGCGTTTGCGAGTACTGACCTCTCGAAGCGGTATTGTATTTCTAAAAAGAAGAGAAAACTTTGTATGTCATCCACAAGAATCATCACGAAGACAAATGGAAGACTCGACTCACGCGCAGATTGGTGGTCTGCTCGGACTGCAGCAGTGCCGCGCCCCACTTGCTGCGGGCGGTCGTTTTTTTCGGCTGCTTATCCTTGGCCTTGAGGCTCTCGTCCGAATGGATGGTAAGAGCGCCGCCTTTGGTGAGCTTGTTGGTGAACAACTGGTTGACCAATCGATCGGTCGACTGCCTCAGAGTCTCGATCATTTCCGGCGAGACGAAGTCTCGATTCTTCTCGACGATGTCGTTGGCGTCGTAGGTCAGTTTGCCGGTGTAATGGGCCACGCTGAACTCTTTTTCACCGGCTACCTTGACGTGGAGATTGGTGCCGTGGCCGACTCTTCGATTATTTATCCGCTCGAAGATGTAATTGGTCTGCTGGAGTTGACGAGATGCCTCGTCCAAGATGTAGAACAGACCGTCCTCCTTGCCCATCAACTGGTCGATCGCCGCTTTGTTGTCGTAGTAGTGGAATCGCTCGATTGGGATCTCCTCCTCCTCTTGTTCTTGCTTTAATCGAAAACAAAATTGTTAATATAGAGCGTTTAAATTGTAGAAAGTTAAAGCAAGTTGGTCCTACCATTTCCCAAACAAAGATTCGCTGATTGTAGTGGCACTGGAGCTGCTCGTTCATGGTATTGACTGCAAGTTGCTCGAGACGATTCTTTGAGAAACATTCGAAACCGAACAAGTCCAGAATACTAATCAAGAATTTGTCTCCACTGCAATAAAATTGGATAATAATTATAACTTCTATATCAATGCTGAGGTAAACCAAATGAACAAAAACTCACAATAGTGTTCGAGACACGCTGAGCTTCTCGTTTATGTTGTTAACGATCCAGTCGACGAGTCTCTGGTAAATGGTATTGGCTAGAGCATCTCTGGTCTCTTTGGCCTCTTCGCAAGTGTGACGGCGCCTGACCGCCTGACCCTTTTTAATCACGCAGTAATTGCACAGAGACCAGGTAAACTTTTTGATATCGAGATTCAAGAGTTCGGCGACGCTCTTGGCCGTCTCGATGTTGTGAACCTCGGCCTCTCCGCCGTTGCCCTCGATGAATCGCACGTCTCCGAGATTGAGTATGGCAGCCAACACCCGCCAGATGGTCTCGAAGTGCTCCTCGAGCTCGAGGGCGCGGATGCAGTCCTTGATGAACTCGAACTTCTTGGCGTTGCCGTGCGGATCGTTGCGGACCTTGAAGGAGCGCTTGCGGCCGCCCATCGAGTCCGAGTCGAAGACTCGCAGGTAGCGCATGCGACGACCCTGGGGCAGCAGATACTGGCGCAGATTGCCCGACGCCTCGAGACCGTCGTAAAAGTAGTAGAACATGTGGAAGTTGGACTGGTTCCTGTCTCTGGTCGAGACGCGGAACTTCTCCAGCTGATAGACCCAGAATATGCCGCCCGAGGCTTTGCCCGTCGATCCGTAAGTGGTCTGGATCTGGAAGACGCACCTGGTGGAATTGGTATTCAAGGGTGTCGCGGCGTTGGTGAAGGCCTGCAGCAGCTTGATGGCCTTGATGAGTCTGGCTCCGATGTCCTTCATGCTCTTGCCCAGGTACATCAAGTGCTGAACGAGATGCATCATGTTGGTGGTCTTGCCGGAATTGCTCTCGCCTGCGAACAGGATGTGCTGAGGCTCCTCGTGATGCAGCACGTCTTGGTACGCGCTATCGGCGACCGAGTAGATGTGGGGCGAATTGTCCGAGCGAGATTTATTTTGATACTTGCAGTGGTACTGAAAACGATTATCAATTATTTTACGGTCCAATCCCGTGGAACGTTTCAGACATTATGAAAAAGAGACTTTACTTGTAGTCCGTAAATATCTTGCTCCTCGTTCGGATTCATGATGAGCAATACGTCGCCGACGAAGGTATGAAAATGCCCAAGACGCTGCCTCTCTTGCAATTCATCCAGAACTCGATCCTCGGTCAATTGTTCCAGCCCTGCCAGATCTTCCTGATACATACGCTCAGGAATCTGAGTCTGATGAGTTTTTAGGTATCCCTTGCGTACAATCGACTCGGGTTTTCGGTGTTTTTTCCCCTTGGCACTGAAGTTCATTACCAAACTCTTGATCTCTTGCGTAAGCTGCAAGGAAATTGAATATCGTTTTATGCTCGAGTGGATTACTGATACTGTGTAATTTGAAATTTTATACAAACTGGAAAGTCATTTTCCGGTAATCCTTCCGACAGAAATGGATGTTCGACTATCTCCGCCATGAATGGTCGATTATCCGGATTCTTTTCCAAGCATCTAAACGAGGAAAGTATACGAGGTAATATGAAATCTCATATGCAATAAATAAATATGTAAAATGACTAAACTCAGCGATGAAATCGTTGAAAGGCTGTCCCCAGTTGGCAGGCCTGTAAACCGTGGGCGGTGGATTCCTCACGATCTGAAACAGAGCCCTGGTGGGGTGCATATCCTGAAAGGGCGGATCGCCGTCGGCCAGCTCGATGGCGGTGATCCCGATGGCCCAAACGTCGGCGCGACTCCCGTAACCGGCGCTCTGCTCGCTCTTGCTCATCACCGTCTCGGGCGCCATCCAGTTGGGCGAGCCGATGCAAGTGAAGCGTTTGCCGAGCTCGCCCTTGATGGCTCGCGCCAAGCCGAAATCCACGAGCTTCACCTCGCCCTCCTTCGTCAGCATGATGTTGCTGGCGCGTATGTCGCGGTGAAGCACGTTGTTCTCGTGCAGATGCATGACCGCCTATACGGTCGGGAAGGTTGAAAAAAATTTAAAATAAAGAGAGAAGCAATTTTTTTTTCATTCTCGAGAAAAAATCCTCGAAGAGTAAGTTCGAATTCCGGCCGAAAGCCTCGTAAAAAGCTTAGTGCGCGCGTATATGTACTGACGCAGCAGTTATTAGCGCGTAAATATATAATTCTCCATTAGTCCGGTGGTCGGAGAGAGAGAGAGAGAGAGAAGCTGAGAGAGAGCAACAGCAGCAGCTCCTTATGAAAGCGCGTCGCGCCGAAATCACTTTTATAGATTTACTGCAAATTGAACGATTTATAATTTAGCGTCGGTTAACGAGCCGTCGTTAAAGTTAATACGCGCATCGAGCACAATTGATCGTCGTTATATTACGTACTTTTACATTCATATATTTGAAAATTGAGACTGAGGTAAAAAAAATGGGGGGAAAATATCGCGCAAAATTGCGCGAGAGCAAATGCTCGGTGGTCGAGGCGTCAGGGGCGCGCGCGCGCAGCACATTTCTCGATCGATGATTTAGTAAGAAATGCTTTTTCTTTCTCTCTCTCTTCTCTTGGCTCGCGAACGCGGCCATAAATATAAATCGAAAAATGCCGAGGAGAAGCCAAGTAAAAATTGTGATATACGATGTTGCATTCTTGCCGAGTATAATATGACGCGTTGCCGAGAGGTGAAAAATTAAGTATTTCGTACACAAACAGTGCGCGTGTTTTGTGTCGATCTCAGCAGAATCGTGACTCGAGCCCGAGATGCCCCGAAAGAGATCGAGGGAGAAAAAAAAAGGATTTAATTACTCTCCAGCCACTCGTCGCGAGCTGGCTGCGGCGTTTGAATAATTTATTATTGAGATGTACTCCCCAAGCGCCAGAGACGGGTTTCGTCGAGCGATCGTAATTTCCAACATTTTGGTCGAGGACGCTATCTCGAGGAGGCCTCGCTGACTATATTTTTTTCTCCAATTTTGCCCTCAAACTGTACGAAAAAAGAAACAGACAAAGCTGTACCGAGGCGCGATGCATAACCGGATTACGTCGTTAATCGAATTAAAAATTTTTTTCTTTTTGATACTTGGCTTCGAATTAATTCGCGTAAACGGCAAAAATTAACGCGCAGGCGCGTAGCTCTAACTATACAGTCATTTCTCGCAAATAATTCAAGTTTGAAAATGCGGTTAAAGCATCGGTGTACCTTAATGGTTTCTCTCAATATGTAAGCAGTGTGCTCTTCCCTCATTCTTTTGTCGCTGATTTTTAAGCCTCTGACGAGATCAATGACAGGGCCGCCCTCGCACAGCTGCAAAATAAACGAACACACGCGCGTACGTGTGTGTGTCAGTACGTTAGTGTGTGTGTGTATATATGCTCACACAAGGATAATCACATTAGATGTGGTTAGGAAACTATTAAAAGCGGCTTGTTTACTTAAAAGCACATATAGATACACGCCTGTATCATATTATATGTATGTATATCGTATTTATTATATGCCAAGGTGTGCTTTATAAGTGTATTATATGCGCTAAGATACAGTGTAAATATCCTTTCAATAACGGAACGTTTCAAACGAGTATAAATCGACGTTTCACAACACCCGTATACGTTATTTCGACGACACGCGAGATTTAAATTACACAGCAGCAGAGCAGAATTGGAAACGGAGTCGAGTCTCGCGTTGATTAAAAACAATCAACGCACGCGCAGGCGCGAGAAAGAGCGAATTGTATATTTTTCAATTAATCACGCCGCAGAAACAGAAGAGTAGAATAGCATATTATATAGCAGCTCACAGGTAGAAGAGAAAAGAAAGTTGCAGTGTGCACCGGCGGTAGCCCACCGCCGCCGCCGTCGTATAATGGGGACGCGTTTTGTAAGTCAATCGCGGCACACACACACACAATGCGTCGGAGATTTATGACCGAGGCGATATTTCATATCGAGAGGCCCGTGCGTTCTTTCGCGTGTATATAATAGTCGGAGAGAGGCGCGAGCGAGCGAAACGATGTGCATTTTGTCATGAGACGCGCCTGTGTTTATAAACGTTATATTGTGTGCCACTGCGCCGATTTATAATATTCCGCTGCTGCTACCATCGATATACACCTGTTCGACGCGCGTCACGGGAGCCGCGTGTCGATTAATTATCGTCGGACGCGTGGGAGCTCATAGCTCGTACACTTTTCGATATTTGCTGCCTCGCTGCTCTATATGATGTATTTATGCACAATAATGGACGAGTTGTAACGATTGTTTAATGGTCCGAAAAAGAGAATGCGCGTCGTAAATTATTTAGCGGCCGAAAGTTGCAGTACTTCTCGTATTGCTCGCGAGTGCAGTGCGTTTACCTATACATAGGTATCGCGTGTGCAGCTCTTTACTCGCGAATCGGCCCCCTTCGCAATTCGAGTGAGTTACGACGGCTTCGGTGACGTTACGCTGATCGCGCGTATAGAGTCAAGTGCCACGGTATATACCACTGCCCCTCCGAGGTCGTGTACAGCTAGCAAGCTCTAAAGTAAGAAAATTAAGCAGCTTTTGTGTATATATAAGCTTACCTCCATGACGAACCATATCTGATCGTACTCGGTCTTCTTGCCGGAGCGTCGCCGATAGACGCCGTAAAAGTCCGGCAGGTTCGGGTGATTGGAGAAGTCGCGCAGCACTCGGTACTCCTCGACGATCAGTGGCTGCGTCTCGGGCGTGAGCTTCTGTATCTTGACGGCGACCTTGCGACTGGCCTCCTCGTCGTAGGCCTCCCAGACGTCGCCGCACACGCCCTGGCCTATGCACTCCTTGAGGCTGAACTTTTTCCCGGGGTCCTGCATGCTGTCGAGTCGCTGCAGGCCTCCGCCCCCTTGGCCGCTGCCGCCACCACGTCCACCGCTCCTGTCGCGGCCACGATCGCGATCGCCCCGATCACCGCTACGGTCGCGACGATCGTTGTAGCCCCGATCGCCGCTGCCATCGCGTCCACCGCTGCGATCCCGGCCACGGTCGCGGCTACGATCGCGCCTGTCGTAGTCGTCCTCGTACTCGTCCTCGTCGTCTCGGCCTCGCCTGCCACCACCACCTCCGCCTCGGTAACTCATTCTCGCTTCCTCGACTCTTCTCTCGTTCTTCGATCCAGTCTACCTGTGGAAATTCGTATCGGAAAATTTAGGAAAATGGTCGCTTCCGAGCTGAAACAACAACTACAAGAATGTATATAATATACCGACGACGAATTACGCGGACTGCGCGACTACGACACGACGAGAGCTACACGAAGGGCCTACTTAACCGCAAGAAACGAAAGTTGGACACCACTTGTAGGACTTCATCGAGATGGAGATGGAGAGGGGTTGCCCCCACACACGATGTGTACACATGTACATCGCATGTACACGATATATATGTACGCGTCGAGTTTATTGGATTTCCGGAATTGCATAAGCATCGAATATAGTCGCACTCCAGTTATGTATACGTGCCCTACGTCGAGTTATTATGACCCTTGACGAGGGCGATACATTCAAACGAATGGAAATTTCCTTTTGCCCAGACGTCGCGAATTTTACATTTAAATTCTCGTTTGTTTTTGATTAATTGGACAGCTCGTTGAGTATCATCGACGAAAGTCGCGAGCTTATATTCAAATCGCACGGACGATTGGCTCGGTACTTGAAAAAATCGGTATATAAAGAACGTGCACGTGCTCGATATGCAAAACTCAATTCCGGATAAATTAAATCAATCGAATAGAGAGCTTTTTTTCCAATTGCCCGAGTATTATATGTATAAGGTTCATCGATCGTGCTCGTATAGGTGTTTGGAATATCGATGGGCTTTTTTGTTATACCCGCGCGTGCACATTCATACATCGTTGGTCACGCTGTCGCACGCGCGGTGTTGAAATCTCGCGTTCCTCGAATACTCGAGCGATTGATGCGCGCACGTAAGAAACGCAAGGAACGACGATGTGTCGATGTGCAGCCGCGTACATTTTTTTGTTCCATACGCGTCCATCACTTCGATCGCATATCGAGAGCGATATATACATTGTAATATGGTGATCGCGGTTATTTTTTGCCTCCTACCACCCGGCCTCGAACGTTTATAATGAATGTACATAGCATCGACAAGTTTATATTCGATTAAAATTTTTCCTCGTGAGAGAGAGAGAAAAGTTTTCACTTTTTTCTCGTTTCTCGTGCTTGCCTCCGAGCGGTGACGCGCGACCATGAATATTTATACGCGCGCGATTTTCGTATAAAGATCGCGTGTCGCGATACATACATTGCGTATATGATATCATGCCGTTTGATTACTAATAATCCCCGCTGAATCGCATTAAACGTTACACCTTAAGCTCGTTAATGTTATAAGCTGATTAACGGGGCGGGAGCATTCGAATTTGTCGTGTATAGTTGTAGTCTCGCGGCGCGTTGGACATATACACGAAATTACAGACTCGATCGTTGTTGTCGTCGTTGTTGCTTTTTTTTTGTCCTCTCTCCACCCACCTCCTTTTTGTCGTCTAGTTAATCAATGCAACTTCAAACGAACTGCCTCGAGAGAGAGAGCGCGCGTTTAGGCACGTGCACGAGTTCACATGGTGGTGTGTCGTCGTCGTCGTGGCGCGCATCGGAAGATCCACGCGCGTGGCTGCAGCAGTCGCCTGCACCCCCCACGGCTCGCGCACGCACACACGCACGCACAGGAGCTTTATACCGTAAGGTGTTTTGTGACACAACGCACATTCACGCGCGAGCGAAAAGATAAAAGGGGCAAGAAACGCATGGGGGTGGCGTTGTTTCATAGAGCGGCGCGCGCGCGCGCGCACAGGCCGGCGTCGTTTGAACTTACCTCGTGTATACACCGCTAGCTACTCTTCTTATTCTTGCGCGTCGTCTTGCGCGTTAATTAAGACGTCTGGCGATGGTGTCGTTGTCGAGTTGGCGTTGGCGCGTTGCAGCGTGCGACGATACAAAGTTAACTTCGCGGTGCATGCTCTAGCCACAACGAAAAATAAAAAAAGTAAGAAAAAGCGGAGGAGACTCGCCGAATGAATCGTGCCCCCAAAAGATCCTACCATTATATTACCTCTCGAGTCGAGTCTTTTCTCTTTTTAGTTCTTTTTACTTTTTTTTTTTGTCCACACAACACACCACTTACTCACCACCGCCGTGTCTTTACTGACTGGCTGACTGACGACTACGACGACGAGGCTCCCTCGCTAGCGAGCTTGCGCGGCCCGAGCTTGCACACGGCCGAGAGAAAGAGAGAGAGAAAGCATGGCCAGCAGCAGCACCGCTGTTGTTGGCTTCTATGATCCAATAAAGGCGACTTAATTAACTAACTGCTAACTCGGAAGCCTGTTAGCTCATTGATTTCTCGCGACTCGAGACTCTATACGACTCTCTCTCTATATCGTGCATTGTGCATTATACACTACTCGGAAGAGATGCACTTTCGGTTTTGAAAATTCCCGCCCGGGATAGGTCGAGTCGAGGTTCCATTTCGATTGGATCATACGATCGTCGAATCGAACTGTATCCCTTGGCCCTATGCACTATCACGAGTTGCTTCTCGTATTCTATCGTCGGTATTGGTACGGCCAGAGCTTTACGTTACAGTGGCCTACTTGCGAGCCAATGCACCTTTTAACTTGACCGTCTTCTCACTTTTCTTCTTCGCCCCGTTCGCGACTCTCCACCCTCGCTCGTTTGCCCCCTGCGCATATTTTTTTTTGCGCGCGCGAAGCGAGATCGAGTCGCGGCTTATTTAATCCGCTCTTACGATTGTTAATCTGCTTGTTCTCAATTTCGAGCTTACTCGCGCTCTGCCATAGCCTCTCGCGATTTTGGCGTAAGCAAACTTTGTGATCGTCGCGTGTACACACGGGCAAAACGCACATCTTTTTACGCCGCGACTTTTGATTTCGTCGTTCGCCTTGGGATTGGATTAGCCAGTCGAACGGGATTAGGCTGACGCACGAATTAAGTATGTTATAGCCGATCGTCTCCGGGCCGTATTGTACATATACGCGCGGATAAAAACATTATTCGTTGTTGTTTCTCTCTTCTTTTTTTTATCCCCGAACGATGTGGCTTCTATTATATAGCCAAGCAAAAAAAAAAAAAAAAAAAAACTNAAAAAAAAAAAAAAAAAAAATACTTGGGTCAACAGTGCGCGCGCGACGTATTGGCATTGTGTGATAGGTACACATGTAGCTGGTGGCACCTCTAGCAGTAGCGCGCCGAGACGAGACACGACGTCGATATACGGCAGCAGCGCAGCTCGAGTGCAGTTCATCCATCCTGTCGCTGTCAGCTCGTCGTCGTCTGCGCGACTCCTCGACGTATAGACACGGAAAAGACGGATGGCCGTGGTACGCGCGTCTTTCGGGATAAATAAGTTGCAGAGCGCGCCTACATAGGCGAGCTGCGCGAATACATGCATACGGATTTCGCAGCCACGAATGCGTGTACGGATCGCTCAGGTGTACACCTCTAGTATGTAGCACGTATACGGAGGATATTTGTCATCCGCGAGCTATGCGTCGCTCAATTTATACCATCTTAAAGCAGGACAATGCGAATTACGCGTTCGATAAGGTCGCGCGGCGGCCTCCTCCGACTCTAGGAAATGTATAAATATATATACGCACGCGCGAGAACAGATTTTTTCTGTATAACTAACGGATAATCCGTTTTCTCACGTATAATAGTTGCAGTAGTAGCTGTAGCTTCGGCTAAAAATATAAACTTACGGTATTTTTGTTTGTCTGAGAGAATGAATGTCATTGAGAAAGAGAGAGATAGACAAGCTGTCGTGTAAGTAGGTATTTAATTTTATTCAAAATTGATATTTTTCGCTGATTTAGCTCATTGTTAATTCGATTGAGAAAATTTTTCTTTTGTTTATTTATTACAACAATAATAGCCAAGAATTAGCTGCGATAACAAAATAAGAGATCATCATCCACTCGGCCGATCTTTTATTTTCTTCTGTTTTCTTATTCCTTTTTTTCGATATCTAACTATTTTTCACCTAGTTTCTATATCATTAACTATATGTATAATATGTATAATAATTATTTTCAACTATTTTGATATTCCATTATTATCATTATTTTTCTTTTTTTTCAATACTGACGTTTGGATAATTAGTTAGTGTATAAATTGTACGAAATCTCGAAGATTCGCTTAGACATATATTTACTATAATGTGTATAATATAATACTTGGCACCAATAAGTGTATGTATATGTGCTGTGTTGTTGTGTGTCTGTGCATGTGTGTGTATGGGTGTGTGTAATATTTATGTGTAATTGTGTGTATTATATAAATATAGTACAAAGGCAATTATAATACGATTAAAAAAGGATGTCATCTACGATGAAGTTGAACAATGTATTGAGATAGATAAGCACTAGCTATGTATAAGTAAAATATACACGATTTATAAATTGTATATAAATAAAGTCAGTTTTGATAATTAGTATACAGATTTACTAAATTGTCACTTTCTTCCAGCCGTCGCCGTCGGCGGCTGACGTATGCGCTCCGCACAAGCGCGCATCTATATACGCACAATAGTCGCACTCTCGAGTCCTCGCGACGCATCAAAAACAACAACAATTCGTTATATTTATAAAAAAAAAAAAAAAAAAAAACAAACAGCTAGAATTCACTTGCAGACGGTGATCCACTCCTCGACGGTGCAGTTCTGGCACTCGACGAAGCAGCACCAGTGAAACTTGCAGCCGCACCTCTCGACCCGGCGCTGCCTTATGACGTTGTAGCCCCGGCCGCAACAGAGCGAGGCGCATCCGTCGCCGCCGGCGCTGGGCTTGTTGCATCTCCGGCCGCTGGTGCCGGCGATGTCGGCGTGCGCGTCCCGCTCGCAAAAGTTGGGCGACTTTTGGAAGAAGAACAGCTGATTGGCTAGATTCTTTTGGGCCTTGCGATTGACGCCTTTGCCGCCGCCGCCGCCGCCCCCACCGTTGCGCGATCTGCCTCGGCCCGCGGAGTCGAGGCTCCGATCGGCCGACCTGAGGCTCGACACGGCTATCGCCGAGGCCCGGTGCTTCTGGCGCTGCCGATACGAGGAGGTGCGCGAGCCGCCGCCGTTCGTTTGAGGATGACCGTTGCCACCGATGCTGCCGCCGCCGCCACCGGCACCGCCAAGAGCGATGCTCCGATCTTCGTTTCGCCGACGCTTGTGACCTCGGCCCGCCCGAGGATTCATCGGCTGGACCTGGCCGAAGTTGCTCTGCATCACCGCCACGGCGTTGCGAAAACGATTCTTGAGCGTTCGGCCGACCAGCCGGAAGTCCGGCACGACCTTCCAGCAGGTCTTCAGTTCGCAGGAGCCCGACATGCCGTGACACTTGCAGCGGACCTGCATATTGCTCGCGACCGCCTGCAACAAAAGAAAAAAAACAAGCGACGATGTCTTAATACTTTTAATAGCTCAAATTTTTTTCGTTCTTTTTCACTGCGATGAGCCTCGCACGGACAATGCGCGACCACGGCGAATGTTCAAGTTCGTGCAGCGCAGCGAGATATTTTAATAGATTCATCAGAACATTAGACTCGTAAAACTGCTGCTGCTGCTTGCGAAAGAGACCAATCCAAGCGGGAAAAGACGAGCGAAGAAAAAAAAACAATAAGAGCGTGTAACGACTGGGACGAGTACGAAAAAAAAAGGGGGAAAGAAAAAAGCAGAAAGAAAGGACTCGAGTGCGCCACGAGTAATGCACCGCGAGTATATAAGTATTACAAGACAAAGAGGTGTCGCGGGCGGGCGTACAAAACAGTTAATGAGTCTACGGCTGGGTGGTCCAGCCCCGGCTTCTCTTAATAACTCGCTCGCGCGCGCGGAAGGAGGAGGATTCACCTGGCTTAGCGCGGCGTACACATATACACATACCTTTCTTTCTTTTCCGACGCCACACGCGAGCTCCGCAGTACGTCGCCCGGACGAACGAAGGGAAGAAAAAAATAAATAAATAAATAAATAAAAATAAAAACGAGAAAAAGAAGCGAGAGAAGAGAAAAAAAGTAGGTAGTCGCAACCGAAGATGATGCACGTGCCAGCTATATATTATGAAAGCTGTACGTGTGTGTGTGTGCGTTGACCTCAGCACACGCAATCTCCACTGCACACACGGGATGCGTCGAGAGAGAGAGAAGCTCATCTCCATTGTCGTATTAACCCGAATGCAGAAATCGTCTCATTAGGCATAATGCATCCATATATACACGACTGATTTATTAGCACGAGTATAAAAGCTGTACGAATTTTATACGCGATTTCTCGGTAAAAGCCGACGATCGTCTCTCTCTCTCTCTCGGTCCCATCGTGTGCAGTCTATCGCATCAAAAAAAAGCTTCATCGAAAATTAACCAAACTACCGCATACTCGTTGTATGCTGTTTTGTGCCGTTGCGTAACGATAATATTGGTTGTATACTCACGTTGCGACCGGCTTGATTATTATGTAGATTAACCGTGGACTGTATGTCGCCGGCGACCTCGCGGGCGTCTAGGAACTGTTTGGAGAACTCCATGCCGTACTCGAGATTGTGCGAGCAGCCGCCCCACTTCCACTGGGTGCCGCCGCCGACCATCTTGGTCTCTCGGCCGGTGTAGCTCGACGGGTCGCAGCCGCACGAGATCAGTCGGCCCATGCTGCAGGCCCTGGACACGCTGTGGGCCACACCCGCCGAGGCGATGGCGTACACGAATCCCGTCTCTCTGTAACCTGTGTGCGTTCATGAAAAAAAAAGGTAAATAAAAATAATAACGATTAGAAAAAGAGAGCGAAAAATTGCTCGCGAGCTTTGCTGAATGAGATGTTGGGCTAAATTACGAACGCGTAGACAGGTCGAGTGTCACCAAGGCAGTAACTTTCAACTTATCTCTTTCTCTCTCTCTCTGGCTCTTCTTGGCTCGAGGCTCGACTCGTCAGTTTAGCAAATTGTCAATCGATAGACGCGCTCCGACGGACTATTAACCGTCAATCCACTTGACAGCTGCCTGCGCGAGGAAGAATTTCGTTCGTACGCTGACTTACATGGATGTGGCGCGTCTATATAAGCTCACAGGCAACAGAAGCAGCAGCATCGGCTGCTCATTTAATGCAGATTGGCTTCGGAAAAGGCAAAAAAAGACAAAACAACAACAACGACGACGAGTCCTTGCTAGTTGTCGGGCACGCGGACGTACAATAAATTGTCCACGCGGGCAAGTCGCGAGAGAGAGAGAGTAAAAGCAATAAAGCTGCTGGTACGCGCGAGCATTGTTGGACTTGCTGCTCGGCGTCGTGTCATTTGTTTTTCCCCGTCGACGCACGCGTTTCTTCTCCTCTTTCCTTCTTTCCTCCGTGCTGCAGTCTGCCTCTGTCTTTTTTGCCTCTTTCCCTCTGGAAGGCAGCTCAGAGCAAGCAGCAGCAGCAGCAGCACAGGATAATGGAACTTTTGTGATGACCGTAATAAAATATTTGCGCGTACGTGTGCGTTAAGCGTTGCGACGACGACGACGACGACCAATGTTCACCGTTTCTCTCTCGACTCGACGTTGTCCTGGACTCGGAGCACACAGCACCAACAAGTCGTGAAAGTGAACGGATAATATAAGGCGAGCAATGAAAGGCAAACATAGTCTCAAGTCTCAATTTTGATGTATATCGTTTCGCGCTTGCGGGGCATTCCGATATGTCCTTGCCGAGAACTGCTGCTGCTGCTGCTGCTGCTCTATGCCGGCCGCCGCCGCCGCAACAAATTTATAGCTTCTAATAGCCAACATAAACGCCAACACCGTATTTAGCATTAAACTGCCGATTTATGTAATAAAGCGCCGATCAATGAATTTAACGACAAAATAAAAAGGCAGCAGAATGAGAGAGAGAGAGAGAGAAAAAAAAAAGAGTCCCGCAGCCATTGGCGAATGTATAAATCACCGAGCGAGCAATTCCAATTAATTTCTAAGAGAATTCATCAGATAAGTCGCGTGTACACATATGCTTGGCTGCTGCTGTATGCCGTTGGTAAGACCACCGAGTTGGGGCTCGCGCAGGCATACGTACACGTACATAAGCTTTGGCTTGAAAACTGAAAGTATCTCTCTCTCTCTCTAACGTTTCAACGTCGATCTTCTCGATCGATAATATATAGCGCGCGAGTTTAAACGAGACAAGCTGAAGGAAGAGCTATACACGGCTCCGCGAGTATAAGCGTAAGAGCGCGGTAATTTAAAGACGACCGAGAGAGAGAGAAGCTTACACGCGCGCGTAATCTGCGGCCGAGCTAGTAAAATCTCGAGCTTATATGGACAGACGTGAATTGGTCGGTAAGGTACGAGGCGCAAGCTGCAGCCACGGACCGAGAGAGAGAGAAGGTTTTCCATTATTCGATAACCAGATGTCCAATAAGCTTTAAAAAGCCGTCAATAGAATCGTAACTTGTTCCGAAGGTGTTTTCCTGGACGCGCGAGCGAGCGCACGAGAGAGAGGAGCAATCGACTCATTGAACGACTTATGGGCCGCGCTCGCCGAGTGCGAAACGCACACACGTCTATATATACGTATAAGGTAATAAAATGCCAAAGAAAGAGCTCCGTTGCTAGGCCTCGGCCGGGGCGTGGGAGTCTCTCGCCTCGCGCAGAATTTCTCGGAACGGAGTAATTTCGCTCGCTCGCGTACAGCACGGTAATAAAGATAAGCCGCGCTATTGCGTTGCGAGTATCCTCCTTGCGGAGACTCACCTCTTTGCAGCATGACGCTGCTGTGTTGAGTTAGGCTGCTCGTGGTCAGGGACGAGCAGTTCCACCTGTGCCACTGGAACTGGTGGCGGCACTCGGCTATGGCCATCTGCAGGCCCTTGACGGCGGCCTCGGCCACGTCCGGATTGCGATGGCAGAGCTCGCGCTGCTCCTTGCTCAGGCCCGGGATGCCGTTGCACACGACGACGCTGCTGCGCGCCGTCCATGCCGCGTCCACCGAGTTGCTCATCAGGCAGCTGACTCTGCAAATCCCAACCAGAAACACATGAAGCACACGGCCGACCGAGGAAGGTCGTGCACACACGTTTACTTACTATACACGTATACATCTATCTGGTACAAATGCATTATAACGATCACAGCCCTATGTATGAGATGGATATGACAATGTGTCGTGGGATCAAAAGCGCGAAAAGGACCATATTAGCCTGCGCGTGTGTGTGTGTGTGTGTGTGAACGCAAGGCCGTGTATCGAGAAATCGGCGGTGTGTTTGTGGCCGCTGCTGCTATTATGTGTACGCGTGCGTGCACGGCTTTTCCCACGAGAGTTAGGCGCATATCCGACGACGACGAGGACGACGACTGTGTGGCGCGACACGATCGCTTTGAGTGATTCTACGGGTAAATTCTTTAAGCCTCCGCTCGCGGTATGCGCGCTTACTGCTGCTGCTGCTGCTGCTGCTGCGATCACCCAAAAACTCACGGGCTTTTATCGCATTTCGAGATCGATCGGTAAATTAATGCGCTCCGACTTTCGGCCCTGCGAGCATTATAATTCGCTCTTTCTCTCTCTCTCTCCCCCCGTATTGTATATTGAAAATCTTGGAATCGTCAAAGAGAACGCGATGTTGTTATATACGTATCGACTTTGCGAGGGTGTGCTTTCGAAATACCTTCGAGAGCTTTGGAAACGAGCCTCGTGAGCTTACGATGCGTAGATGTATATTTGCACAAACTCTCTGAGTCGACAGTCAAAAAGCTGAGAGGGTACGCGCTATGTATAATTGGCACGAGTCGAGCTGGGCGCGCGACTCGCTGAGTCAATTATAATAATCACACTTGCCGGGCAGCTCGTAAAAAATCGCTTCACTTCATTAAGGATTCGCGTTCGCGTTGAGCGCAGAGAGTGCGCAAATACTTGAGCATATACGACCGGATACGTGTATTCGCCGATCCTCTCGGGAGTAGAGTTTCTTATCTCTCGCTCTCTCTCTCGACACACGCAGCAGGCAGTTGTATTCTTGGGCAAAAGTCAACGAAAGAAATGGAAAAATTCCCAAGAACAAGAGCAGAAGCGCAGCAGCGACTCGACGGAGGAAGAACATAAGAAGCAAAAGAAGAAGAGGACAACGACGACGATCGGTGCACTCGAAGTATTCGCGCGCGTATGCGCAAGCATATACCTACACACACGGTGCAGCGAGAGAAGAGAGAGAGAGAGAGAGAAAACAGAAATTTCTTGACTTTTATCTGCGTGCCCGAGTACAAATTAGCCGAAGGTGCGCTTGCCAACTCTCCTAAAGTAAAAGCCGTGTAAGGGCTTACACATACACGAGAAAGAGAGAGAGAGAGTAGAGTGAGCGCGGAGCAAAGCAAATGAAGTAAAAAAGGAGTAAAGTGCAGCGCATGTGTGTGTTTGCGCGCGCGCGCGCGACACACACAGAGCGTTGGATATAGTAGTACAGCACTGCAGCTTCTGAGACAGCAGCATGGGAAAAGAGAAGAAACTTTGGGTTATTGAGAGCTACCATTAACAAGTACACGGGCCCAGTGTAAATATGTACACGCACACACGCGCGCGCATACGTGTATGGTATATATATACGCACGACGGACACGACGAGCACGCAGGCGGATTATTGATGAGCCCGAGGGAGTCTGATTAATATTTTTGCGAAAAAGAGCGACAAATTGCCCCGTACTGACTCGCAAGAGACCGAGCGAACAAATTCATTCTAATTATTCACCTTTTACTTTATTTTTATTTTATTTTAATTTTTTTTTTTCAGACTCGTAATTTTAAGAGCAATTACTACGAGCATCCTCGATCTTGCAACATTATATACACCGATAAGTCGAATATCTGTTGGCATAAATTAGCGAAATAACATTTATCCTTCTGTGTGTGTGTGTGTGTGTTCAAGCGAGTCGATTAATCAAGCTGCTGCACTCGCGGCACACGAGCGCACTCGAGCTACGATCAATTGCCGCGCGGAGGATCCTTCGAGCCATACAACGCGCACGCGAGTGTATAATATGACATCACAATGAGAGAACTCGCGACAATCGTCAGCGATGATGCCGTACTTTGCGCAAACACACACACACGCGCTTTTCCCTTTCCACTACTCACGATCAGGCCTTCGACGTTACGTTATTATTCAAATATCTCGCGAAATCGTTTACCTTACCGAGAGATATGAGAAACGTGCTTACGTACGTGTATGCTCTTTCGAGCACTGCCGGGGCAATGGAATTTCAACTTTAATAGGGTAGAAAATCACGGCTTATACAGAGCTTGCCAGAGAGAGAAAGAGAGAGAGAGAGAGGCAGATAAATTCTAGCTATACGAAGGGTGAAACTCGGGCTCACAGGCTCGCTCGTTGGAGCGATGGCTATCGGCCAAGTAAACCATACGCGGTACAGGCGATCGCGCGGCGTCCCGATAAAAATACCTCGCGCTCGACTTTTTTATTTGAAAATTTTTTTCATTTCATTTTATATATAAACCTATTTTTCAGGAAAATTTGCCTGTACGCCGAAGCGCAGCAGAAGCAGCAGCAGCAGCAGAGCACACGCGTGTCGAAATGAGATTTATAGCCACCGTCCATAATTGCGTCTATTTCCAACAAATTAACGACCTCCTCGCGTATACACACACACACACACGACCACTGAGTTGCGTAGTCGTTTTGTCCTTTTATACATTTATATATATGTCGCATATATATACAGGCTGTATACGCACAAACAGCCTCGTTCGTTCGTGCGGTGCGGTGCATGCGATTGTGTATGTGTGTGAAAGAGAGAAAGAGAGAGAAGGAATATTTCAACTGATTTTACTGCTAAAGACGGTGACTTTAATGCAGCTAAAGAGACGAAGAATCTCGCGAGAATAAGGAATAATAAGGTTAATGGCGCGAATAGCGCCGCGCGCGAGCTGATCGCATGTGTTGCATGTGTGCAGCGTGCGCGCGCGCGTCAATTTACATTGGCTTTTTCTTATTTTCCTCTGCGCCGCGCGGAACGATATCCCCCTTTACCTCTGGCCGAGCGTGAACAATCTTTTTCATTAAAATCGCTTCTCTCTTTCTTCCCACCACCCATGACGCGGAGGCCAATTGTGCTCGTTATAACTTACAAAATTTTGATTATGTAAATAATATACATCGCTCGGGACTCGATCGAGCAAATAAATATCGTGAAAGCCGATACGGAGCACACGTGTGCGCGCACGCACGCAAACTCGCACAACACATGCGTATATATATACCGCCGTATATATTATATTATATATCGTCGAGTGTCGATGCAGTTTCGCGAGTACGTGTGCACTTGTCGTCGTTGCGGTATACCCACACACATGTATAGACACGCGAGCGGGCGCGCGCACACGTACGACAACTTGTCTTGCTAATTATGGAATATACCGCAACGGGGCGATCTCTTTCATTTTTTTTTCTTTTTTTTAAGCAGCAGCAAAAATCTCTGCAGCCACATCTAACGAAGAGCATGCACACACACACACACACACACACACACACACACAGGCTGGTTTTCGTATATAATAGCGTTTTCTCTCTGATCTTTGACTCCGTATACACACACACGCATACGCACACTCGTGGTCCAACAGCCACTCGAATTCTAACGAGGTGCGATGTGATGCTTTTTTTTCCTCCTTCCTTTATGGTTTTTTTTTGCTTCTCTTTTGCGTTTTTTTTCAAGGGCGTCTATACGGATGACGATGACTCGACGTTGATATGCGTGGAGGCGCACATTTACCGTCACGTATATATTATGTATTGGCAGAAAGATTTCGAGGAGTGTATATACACACACACGCGCATATATAGACCACAAGAGGGTAATGCAGAGTATGTATAAGATGCCGCTGTTTGTGTATGAAAGCGAGAACGGCTTGAGTGATGAATTGGCTTGTGACTCGCTCCGATCTCGCCCGACTGTGTGCATGTGTGTGTGTGAAGTAGTAGTAGTAGTCGACACTCAAACGAACGAGAACAAGAGAGATGCGTCACGTAATAATTAACTGCTAATTTTCATCGCTAAATGCAAACGCTAAATCGAATTCGTTCGTTCGAGCAATCGCAATGATCGAGCGCGAGAAAAATTCAAAAAGCTAATAACGATTAAAGCTTTAAAAGCAGCATATATAAACGAAAATAATTATCTCATCGGAAGTCACTACTTTCTCGTATAATGTTATACGTTGCAATTACTCGTGTATAAAATTAATAAGTCCCCGAGGAAGTCGTTGAGAAAAGCGAGCAAAGTGGCCGCATCCTGCGAACTAACGAATTACCTATATACACGATTCGCACCTCGCGCACACGACGTTTTGACGTGTGTCTGACTTTGTAATAATGGGCACGCGGAGCAGCAGTCGGTTTTCACGCGCCTCTGTATATAGCTATTATATCTATATATATAATAGCTCTGCAGCAAGACTCGAAAGTCTGACATACGCCGTGTGTGTGTGTGTGCGAACAGACGAGATCGAGTCGATGAACGATTTTATTAACAATCGCGTCGACGACGACGACGACGTACGTTTCATCTAGTACAGAGAAACACTTTGTAATTCGCTCGCGGATAAGAATGAGACACGTACCACGTTTTATATGTATTTTGTATTTATGGCGGGTAATAAAAGCGATGTATCATGTCGCGACTCACGCGAGCTTTATTCAGGCCTTTTTTTTATTTCGGTCGTACGTGAATTGCGTGTGTGAGGTAACGATAAAACAAAGAAGATGAAATAGCCATACTTGGCGGAGGTATTACGAGCGATCACACACAGACATTACGCATTGAGCTTGTAAGCATCTAAAAGCTGAGAAGGCACCGAGACATCGCTCTATCTCATTGCGTTCCACAACGATGCCTCAAGACTTTCTCAGCCCAGAAGCTTCTCTGAATATCGTATTTCGAACGATCGTCCCTCATCTCGTACATATACACGTGCATACAATGTATAATATCGAAGCGAACGACAAACGAG